TCTCCTTAAGTTTCTGTGCTGATCTTTCCTCTTGGCCCCAGGCATTTATCCAGGTACACAGGGTATATTAGGATTGCAGGCTCCACTTTCTCCTGCAAGGAGGAAGCCTAGGGAGGTTCTATCATCTGTAACAGCCCCAGCCTGCAAGCTGAGGCTGCCCTAAATACCTTCCAGAGCTGAGGTGGTGGCATTGACCACTTCAGCTGAAATCGAGGACAAGTTTTCACATCACCTTTTTTAACTGGATGATTCCCATTGGAGGGAAAACTGCCCTGAGGGTCCACATACATAGTGAGTCTGAGAAAAAGACGGTAGCCTCATTTTGAAGAGACCTCAGCAATTGTCAGGGTCTTCCCAGGTGGCACTACTGGTAAAGGCCCTGCCTGCCATTGCAGGAGACTTAAGAGGCATGGGTTCAATCCCTGGGTCGGGGAGATTTCCTGGAGGAAGGCAGGGCAACCCACTCCAGTATTCTTGCCTGGAGAATCCCACGGACAGGGGAGATTTGTGGGCTATGGTTCATAGTCTCACAAGTCGAACACAACTGAAACAACTTAGCATGCACACACACACAGCAGTTGTCAGGGCTACAGGAGCCGCCGGTGGTTAAGCACTCAAAGGTCTCTTATGACAACCCCAAGGTACTAGTCACCTTTGGGCCTGACAGGATGGAGACAGGTGTCTGTATCCAACAGAGCCATGAGTCATGAAACAGAGCCCTAACTCCTTCCCTTCTCTGAGTTTCCCCAGCATACTTGAAGAGATGTGCACGGCCTTTGATTTCTCTGGGGAAAATAAAGATCTCTGCCCCCCGCCCCAAGAATCTTACTCCTTAAAGGAGCTGCATTGAGGACATAGGGGGATGGGAGAATCAGTATCATCTCATTGATTTACTCCTGGTTTACTGATTTCCTATGGTGGCGATCTTGGTGCTTCATTGACATTATTTTTGTAGACTTTTTAATTCTATCCTGTGCTTTCTGATTGATTCTTGGATGAAAGACTCAAGTAACATACACTGATAGTCAAGTGCATAATTTATACAAATTTTAGGTACATAATATGTAAGAGACACAAAGGACCGAAGCAGTGTAGGTAGACAAACATGAAATAAATTTAAAAAATGAGCCTGTCTTCGTATGTCAGATTACAACAGATAACAGTAAAAACTGGAAAAACTGTGCCTGTTTTTCCTTCCCCCACTTTGGTCACATGGCATGAGGGATCTTCGTTGCCCGCCCAGGGATCAAACTTGTACCCCCTGCACTGGAAGCACAGAGTCTTAACCATTGGACCTCTAGGGAAGTCCTCTGTGCCAGCTTTAAAGTAATTTTGTGTTATTTTAACTCAGAGCTTAAATTTGGGGCTCTGGAATGAATTAACAATTTTCCACTGAAATTAAACTTAGTTATGTTTTTTAACTTGGGAGAATTTGCCCCAGATGAGGCTTTTTTCCTTTCCTCTTCTGATCTTTATGTTATAAGCATTTTCAGATTTAAAGTATAATGATTATGCATATATATGTGGTCAAAATTTAACAACTGCTAACATTTTGCCATGTTTGCTTTACCTATAACTGTTCTGCAAATGTTTTTGAAAATAAATCACAGATACATTGACATTTCACTCCTTGGTTTCTCTGAAATTTCCTCTGAAAATATGACATTTTCCCACATAACTAGTATAAAGCTATCACACCTAACAAAACCAATAGTCATTCCTTAAACTTATCTAATACTCAGTAAAAATCATATTTCTTGAGAATAAATTACTCAACCTATGGTTGGAGAAACACTGTAATCTGGGAGAGAACCTGAAGATATTATATTTATATATCTAAGACTCTATAGTAGTTTCCCTGTGAACCAAACTAGCTCCCTTACACAAGGCAAAAAAATGACAGAAATTTTCATTTTGTTCAAAAAAAAATTTTAGACAGCATCAACAGAAACTTGTAAATTTCATTGCTATTGTCTGCGTGTGCATCGAGATGGACAGGATGTTCAAAGCTCCCAAAGGGGACTCTTTTCCTCGGGCATCAGCAGGAGTCCCTGAACTGGAGACACTGTACGTCCTTTCTCTCCTTGTTAGATACACACCAATGTGGAAGGTACACTGATCATCAGCTCTCAAATTCAACTCAAGACCACTGTCTCCCAAAGAAAATGACCTTCCTGGATTCTCAACAGCCATAAGGATGGCTCTGGTCAGCACCGCTCTGTGCTATTCTCTTCTCACAGCTGTGCTCCTCGGGGTCTCTGTGAAGCCTTGAGACACTCAATCATCAAGGCCAGAAACCGGCTCTCAGCTACATCCTGCTCACCCTCCTCTTCCCGGGTTTCCTCTGTTCTCACTCTCCATCAGCCCTCCCAACACAGGCACCTGCAGAGCTCAGCAAATGACATTTGCATTTGTGTTTACTGTGGTTATTCCTACTGTTTAGGCTAAAATCATGACTGTGGTTTTAGCTTTCAAAATAAAGGGAAAAGGATAAGACAGTGGTTTATATCAGGAGCACTGACTCTGCCACTCACATCATGCCTTGATCCAAGTCAGAATCTAGAATCAGGTTGGGACTCTCTCCTCTTTTCACGGAGATGCACACGCACTCTATGAGCCTACACACATCATCGCTGGATGCAGACAGAGGGCTCCGTCACTGCCTTCTGCTGTGTCCTGGAATGCACGGGATCCTCGGCCCTGGGAAGCACTGCTGTGGATCCCCCAGTCAGGAATCTCCCTGACAACTTCGGTGAAGCCAAGGCCAAGCATGCTGCTGTCCTGCACTGTCTGGGTCTCCCCCTTCCCCGCCTGGCACGGCGCCATGCTGACCATGCAGACCTTTTTCTTCTTGGCCGCCAGGCTAGGCTGCATCTCTGCCACCCGAGTGCTACATCAGTATTCAGCCGAGTACTGATAAGAAAACCTTGCAGGGTTTATTTTAGGGTCTATTTAAGGAGTAAAATAGGCCCTGGAGTACATAAACATTTCAAAGATTCATCTTATGGTTCTCAAATAGATAGGTAACAGACACATGAAAAAAATCACCATTTTTATAGAGATAGTGATTCCAAATCAAATTTATAATTTCACCTCTTTCTCAGTTAGCAGAGGTTTTTCTCTTATGTTCTCTAGTATACCAGGGGCACAGCTATGTTCAGTCAACAGTTCTTGAAACTTCTTGAAAGTTATCTTGGATATTGCATTCTTCGAAATTAAATCTATTATTCCTATTATCTACTTACATGTACAAAAACTTCATTTTACCCTTCAGTTCTTGAATGAATTTTCTAGCCAAGACACTGATAGTTGGTACAATCTACCAGGTGGTCTACTATTAATGTTTTAATTTGGTCCCAAAAACCTTTAGGCAGCATCAATAGAAGTTAATGCTCATCCCTAAATAAAATGGCTTTTCACATACTAATACGGGACTTATTCCCCTATTTCTTCTTCTAATATATTTAGAGTTTTATTTTTACCTTTTAACTATTCAGTTTATCTGGTGTTTGTTTTTGTGGTTTGTGAAGGAAGCTACACCATTCCTTTTTTTTAAGAGAGAGAACTGAAGGGTGTGTGGTTTGCTATCTGTCCTGAGTGAGTCAGGTCTATTGAACAGAAGTGCCTAAAGTGAAAGACTGAAGAGATTTGGGGGCCCAAAGCCCCAACTTTGGGGAGGCCTGATATGATGACAGGGCAATTTATAAGCTGAAGATGTCATAAGCAAGGAGGGAACAGAATCTTAAGTTTCCTGGGAGCCTGGGAATCCTGTGGGATCTGGGCCACCCAGAGGTTAGTTATAGGTCAGACAAGATTAGAGAGACACAGAAGCACATCAGACAGAAGAAATTCCTGCAATTCAGAGCCAGTCAGCATAAGAGATAGAGATGGGAGAGGTGGAATCTGCCCTGAGCTCACACTGCCCACCATCTGAAGGGACAGGAACATTCAGGATGTGAGGGAGTTGGAGGGAGTCTCTGCATTAGCCTGGGGGGTGGGGGGGGGCGGGAGGATGAAACCTCAACAGTTACAGTAACAAAGAAAATTATAGAAGCAGTTTATGTGTTTTCTATTGCCACGAGAGCAAATGATTATAAATTTAGTGGCTTTAAAACAACACAAATGCGCTCTCTTTCATTTTTGTAGGTTAGAAGTCTGACACGGCTCTCCCTGGGCTGTGTTCCTTCCTGGAAGCTCCAGGACAGAATCCATTTCTTTGCCTTTTCCAGCTTCTAGAGGCTCTTACACTCTCGTGCTCCAACCCTGCATCTCCCGGGCCATTCCTCCATGGTCGTTATCTCCTTCTGATACTCTCCCATCTCCCTCTTCAACTTTTAAGGACCCTTGTGATTAGATTGGACCCACCCAGAAAATCCAGGATCAGCTCTCCTTCACAAGGTCCTCAATTTAATCACATCGACAAAAGTGACGTGACAGATTCACAGCTTCAGGGATTAGGTAATAGACATCTTCCAAGGACAATTTCTCTGTCTACCATACTCAGTAACTAAAGAACTGAAAAGGAAAAAAAAAGAAGAAAAAGAATCCTCAAACTGCTATCCATCATACAGTGGAGAAACTGTGTTTCTGAGGTGAAACCGTCAGTGTATGTGGGATTTGTAACTCCAATCAGAAGGCTGTCTTAACAGGGAAAGAAGCCACACTGCACGCGGCCACGGCCCTGCCTCCTCCTGATAAGATCCCTGGCGGCTCCTCTCCAGGCAAGGCTGGGGCTCCAGCCTGTCCTTTTTAGGGCACAAAGATGTGGCTTCCACCAATGCTGACCCTACCATGCCCTTGAAACTAATCTGTGTTGTTTCCTGTGAAGGACAGTTCACAGAGCCAGGAAATAGAGGTTTTAGGATGAGAACCACTTCTTCTTACTGTGAGGGGCGATGCTGCAGGGGAAATGCCATGGTTAGCACAGTGACATGGGGGCAAGAGCCCAATAGGAGCCCTCCAGGCTCCCCGACCCAGTCACGTGGTGGCGGTAAAGAAGTTTAGAAGACAACAGTGGACGAGGAAGGAGCTCGCTGCACATCAATGAAAGAGCTGCGGACGCAGAAGTGCCTAGAGAAAGCAGCCCGCAGGCTGTACACGCTGCCTCCCACTAAGGCCAGTTTGTCCGAAGAGACTTTCTGATGACAAGTGTCGCGGACTGAGAATGACGCAGCCTGGAGCCTGCGGCAGTAGGATGCCTGATATTTTGATTGGCAGCTGCCTGACAGTTGCTGTGGCGGCAGACTGCTCAGGAGCCACACGCTCTGCTCACGACCCGCGGAAAAGGGCCCTTTGGCGATGAACACCAGTGGGACCAATGACCAGCTCTGCGTCACACAGGTGAAGACCGCAGCCGCCTGCATACGTCATCACCCAGCCTCTGGAGACCGCTTACCCTGGCCCAGGGTACCACTGGGTGTCAACTACAGTGATCCCCTTTCTGGGTACCACACAATAATTCCCACTTGCAGAACAGATGTAGGACATGCCACTTGAGAACTCCTGAACGTGCTGCTATATATCTGAACTCCCTGAACACAACCAGTCAGACAGCGACGCCTCCCTCATGGTCACGAGTGCCAACATCTGGCATTCATGTGGCATTTCATGCCCAGTATCACCCACAGACAATAGAAGCTATGAAAAGATGAAGTGGACTCTTTTTGAAAAACTGGGAAAATAATAAGTGGACCCTAATTGTGACAATTTTCCAGAAATGTATCACCGTTTAAGTACACTATTTAATTAGGATGGAGGATGAGAAAAGGCCCACCCTGCCTGCAAGAGACCCCAGCCACACAATGAGACTTCTCCCACCTCCATTTTCCCCTCCTGTGCCCACCTGCAGGAACCCGGGCCACAGGGTCTGTGGGAGGCCGAGCCAAGCTGGGGACCAGGCAGCTTGGGGACATAATGAGCATGAGCACCAGGTGACAGCTCCTAGGGTGGTCCTGCCGGCATGGCCAGCATGATCTCAGATGCCATGTAATAATCTCCTAGGGATGGACCCATCCAGAGTAAGAAACGGCGAGGATTTTTTAAAGGGTTAAAACTCCCATGCTGCAGGGACAGGTCATACAGATACTGATCATGGGGCCATGAAAGGACAGCTGTTCTGCTGGTGGGAGGAGACCTCAGACCCTCTGGAGGTCAAAGATGTTGTGGGGTGGGGTGGGCGGCATTAGTGACTTGGCTGTCACCTGCAGGATCCCTGGCCCAGCCTGTCTTCTGAGAATGCTTTGACAACCTCATCCCAGACCATCACCATGCCTTCCGATCTGAGTCCTGGACACCCCCTCTTGAGACACTCTGAATGGAGGACTGACTGGGGAGGCAGGATGGCTTCTACCAAATGACAAAACAATACTTTATAGATGCGGATATGAACTCCCTTAGCTTCACCTTATTACTGCTGGGGCCTGTGGTTACTCTCTATTGTCAAAACAAAAACAGACTCCTCTTGTGTGCTTCCTGCAGAACTGAACTGGTTGCTGGCTCTGTCACCGCCAGCCCCCACCTGGTCCCGCTGGTGGGACCAGCCCCCCTCTCCTGGTTTCTTGCCAGCTCCCCTTGGACCTGAGCCAGGGAGGCCTCCGCCAGGGGCACTTGGTCAGAACTCGGGTCCAGCTCCCCCTTCTCTCTATGTAGCAAGCAGAGGGAGCAGGTGAACCGCTCCCTGGTGAACTGGGACAGGCAGAGGTCCCTGGTGAACTGCAGGGAAGCAGGCACCCACCTGTCACACACCAGTAACATGATGGAGCAGGGGAAGGGGCCCTGGAGAGGGCTGGGGAGCAGGGAGACTTCTGCCTTGGGACACGGGGCTTCATAGGAGCGTGGCCTGTGAGGATGACACAGACTGGGACCCAGTGGGAACAGAGGAGGACATTTCTAGGAGAGAGAGCAAGAGGCAGGAGCTGGAGAGCAGGGAGGGCAGCAGACAGGTTTGACTGTTGAGGGGAAGTAGTCGGGGTGGGGGCGGGGGCAGGGGAAAGCAGGGGCTGAGAGCTTGCCTGAGAGACTGCCTGCAGGGCCAGGGCAAAGGTGGGTCTCCAGAGTCAGGGCCGCAGTGGGAGAAAAGTGGGGTTTGGGTTGTGTGACTCGGACACATCTCCTCACTGAGAGGCCATTTGCTAACTCTCAGGTGTCTCTGTCTTTCTCAGCCTGAAGTCTAGGCCCTTAGGCCAGTGTGGCCCTTCAGAGCCTGTCAGAACTCCATCAGTGGGAAGCATCTCCCCTGGCCTCTCTCCTCCCCAGCCCTGGTGAACACAAGTCTTGATTGAGACAGACTGTGAAGAATTCTACCACTTCCTCGCGATTGTTGCTGAAAGCAGAATCCTCACTCTGGAGGGGAGATGGGGTCCAGAAAGACGGGGGGCAGAGGCTGCTTTTCACATCAACCGGATCACTCGAGGTGCTAGAGTCCCTGGTCTCCAACCAGACTCGCAGAGTGGACACCAGGGCTCTTACCGCAGCCAAGGGGCTCCTGCAGCAGCTGGAGACACCGCCACTGAGGGTGGGCATGCCTGCCCACAGGCGGCCGTCGCCACCAGCCTCCCCAAGAGACTTACGCAGCAGGCGGCCGCCTGGCCCAGGCGTCTGTAAATGAAGCACTGACCTCAGCTGTCAATGTGCTGTCTAATCTGAAGGCCCCTTCTGGCTCTGCAGTTGTGCTGAAAGGGTCTGACAGCTGAAAGGGTCTGCCCTGGGAAACTCCCGAAGCCCTGTCGGGAGGCCCCAGTTCAGTAGGTGTGGGCGAGGCCCAGCCAGAGGATGGGTGAAAGGGCCCTGGCGAGTCTGAACTGTGGTGAGTGGGCACCGGAGCCGGCAAAGCCGGGGAGTGTGTGGGGAGTGAGGCTGCAGCATCACACCAGCTCAGCGCTGCCCTCAGGCAAGGTTGCAGTCACTCGTTAAAGGACGAGAGCCAACTGACAACTGCTGGAGAGCTGCCACAGTCCTGGGTGAGGGGCATGCCCACGGCCTCCTGGGGATCCCTGTTCTTCACCAGTTCAATCCTCCTCCAGGACCTCAGCTTCCCCAGGTGTCCTGAGGACACCACAGGCCTGTCTGGCAAAACCAGAGCCCAAAACCTTTCTCCATTCCAGCTGCTCACTTGGCGGAACCAGCCAGGGAAGCTCACCCTTGCCCCTTCTTCTGGGGGCAGCGCAGCTCTCTGCTCAATGCTCCCTATGTCTCTGGGGGTCCTTGGATTAGCCCCCTGAATCCTTGGGCACAGTCCCCCCCGGAACCCTTGCACCCCTGCTGTCCTTCCGGCATGCAGGTCCACAGAGGCCAATTCCCTTGGCACCTGCTGACAGTGAGGCAAGCAAGGTGAGTTTCTTTCCCCTCTCCCTCTGGCCTACTCCGGCATGGCCATTATATGTGGACTGCAATTCAGAGACCGCCCAAGCCTACTCCTTCAATTGCATACCCAATGAGGGGAGGGCCTCGCCAGAGGCCACCCAGCAGGGTGGAGCTGGCACAGTTCCTACCCTGAGGCCCTGAGAGGAAACAGGTACCGAAGATGACTCATGGGGAAAAAAACCCCAATAAAGGAAGCGGTCACTAGCAGTTTGGAGCCTCTGACCAGGACAGGAGAAATGGAATGACACCCCCCATGACGCAGGAACTTCACTTACAGCGCAACAAACCAAAGTCAGACTTACGGAAGGATGCCAGAAGTCAGCAAGATGGCTCTTTACAGATCCCCTAGTCCACCATTTTACAGATGGCAACACTGAGGCCCAGAGCGGCTCAGTCATGTGAAGGCAGGTCTCAGGCAAGGAGAAGTCAGGGTCTCTTTGCCCTCAGCATCAAGGAGGCCATCCAAGGCTGGCCTGGAGAGTGGTGGGGGGGCAGACCACCAGCTCCGGGGCCACACCTGTCACCTTCACCCCAGTCAGGACTCCAGCAGCATCTCCCTGGAGAAACTGGACCTCATCTCCTCAAAGAGTCAGAGTCACCTCCAGGGCCATCCTGCCTTCTGCCCCCGGGGCCAGGCTCGGCCAGGCCCAGGCCACAGGCATTCCGCAGTGGCCCTCTCAGCTCTGAGGTGTGTCCAGGAGAAGCCAAGCTACCATGGCTCCCTGGAACTCCAGCGGCTGGGCAGGCGATGCAGCCTCATGTCCTCCTTCTGGATGTGCTCGTAGCAAGACTGGCAGGAGAGAGGCGAGGCTGAAGCCAGCTGGCCTGCCTGCCCCCAGCAGCACGCAGAGGCTTTAGGGTCTGACTCGGGTGCACCCACTCCCAGGTCGGGACCACTGTGTCTCCAACTCAGCCCTCAGCCACAGTCTGAGGAAAGGGGGCCTTCCCTCTCCTTCTGTGCTCAGGAACGCAGCATGGAACACACTCAGCCCTGGGGAGCCGAGGGCTGGGATGTGCTATGCCTACTTTCCCCCACCCAGCCGCTTTTAACAAGGGCTGGAGCAGGGGCTCTGTGAGGACCCCTCCCATGGAGACACACTAGCTGTAAATGTGAGCGCATCCCCGTGATGGTGTCTGGGGCAAAAGGGGTCTGCCCCAGAGGCCAGGGCATTCCTGCCTGGGCCAACCGCTTCCATCCCTCACCTCCAGGGCCGTGAGCAGGAAGTCATACAGGCCTCCTGTGTGGAGAGGGTCCATCATGTCACGGATCAGGTGGATCTCGGCTCCCAGGTGCTGGATTCTGGAGCACCACCGCCACCACCATGAGAGGGAGAAGGGGACCATTCAGGACAGGCGCCCAGCAGCTGGGAAGGAGCCCTGGTCTGGGTGGCTAGACACCTGGGCTATGGTCCCCGCTGTGAGTGGCACCCATGGGACCCTGGGTGGGCCTTTCTCGGCCTCAGCTTCCCCATCTGTCCCAAGAAAGGCTGTGCCCATAGATCGCAGTGTTCAAAGGCTTTGCAGTATGTCTTGGTTGGGGGCGGGCAGGGTGGGAAGGGAAGCTCCTGGGCCCACCCCCAGCTGGGGCTCACTGGGCACGAGACACCACGTAGATGAGCAGCGGCAGCAGGTCGTCCATGGGCAGCTTGTGCTCCCGGCCCAGCACCCGCGACACGGTGGCCTCGATTTCCCCATATGTCCTCTCCAGCACCTCCAGCTTCTCCCGGGGGTCCACCGTGGTGCTGCAGCAGGGTAACTGGCTCCAGATCAAGGCCCTCGGGTTCAGTCCCAACCAGAAGTCCCCACATTCCTGCCTCCCACGTCCCCCTCCCCAGGCTGTGGACTTACATCATCTTCTGCAGGCACTCTGTGGCCGACAGGAAGCACTTGTCTCTGACCAGGGAGTGTCTCTGTGTGGTCGGGAGAGGGGGTTAGATGAGGCCTCCCCTTTCCAGGGTCAGGGCTGGTCCCCAAGCCCCTCTCCACCCACCCCTTCCTCATCACTGACTTCAGCACAGCTCTGCCCAGAGGGCTGAGAGACCCAGGGCAAGTCACAGCTCCACTGTAAGCCTCAGTTTAAAGTGAAGTCGCTCAGTCGTGTCCGACTCTTTGTGACCCCATGGACTGTAGCCTACCAGGCTCCTCCGTCCATGGGATTTTCCAAGCAAGAGTACTGGAGTAGGTTGCCATTTCCTTCTCCAGGGGATCTTCCCGGCCCAGGGATCGAACCCAGGTCTCCTGCATTGTAGGCAGACGCTTTACCATCTGAGCCACCAGGGAAGTCCTAACGAACCTCAGTTTACTTGACTGTAAAGTGGGGTAAACGGTCTCCAGGAGGTGGGAGGATCAAGGTGGATACAGAAGAATCGTAGCAGCCAATGGTCACTGGGTGCTGCCCAGTTCTAAGGGCCGATGTCAACAGCTGTGGAATCCCAGGGCTTGTTGAAACACAGATTCCAAGTTCCTTCCCTGGGTTTCTGACTCAGTAGGCGTGGGTGGGTCCAACTGGCCTTTCTAACTAGTTCCCAGCAACGCTAATGTCGCCGATGCAGCAGGCACACTGAAATCCAGCGCCTCCTCTGTCCCAGCCTGCTCCCCCTCCCACAACCATCGCATGCGGGAGTCCTGGTGCTGCGGCAGTGGGTGCTCCCACAGATGCCTCCACAGGAGCTTCCACAGGTGCTTTCACACATGTCCCACAGCTGCGGGACACAGATCAAGGACTTCGCCCACAGCCAGCCAGCCAGTAAAAGCGGTGGGGCCTGCGCTTGAGCCTGGCCACTGTGGCTGCACACTCACCCGCATGGAGAACTAGAGCAGTGCAGAAAGCCTGCCCTCTTCTCCCTCACCCGCCTCTGCGGCCTGAGACTGTGACTATGAGGGTACAGAGCTGCTCGGAAGCCTGAGCAAACCCAGGGCCCAGCTGAGGTTCAGGCCCCCCTCTCCTAGGCAGGTAACCGGCCCACCCTCTCACCTGATTGGTCGTCAGTGTGAGGTCCTTGAGGGGCCACAGGTGCCTGAAATAAGACGGGAGATGGGAGGCTTTGCCCTCTGAGTCAGAGGGCAAATTCCCTGCACCCCCATGTCCCCCAGGAGGGCTGAGCATGGGAAAGGGGCTGGGGATGCACAATGGCATCTGGGAGCAATTGTGTGGAGCCCAGGCTATAGGAGACCAGGGGGGATTCCTTGAGAGGGCAGCCCTCCATTCAGCCCCAAAACACAGTGAGCAGAGAGGGATGGTGCTACAGGCCAGGGGACCCTCCTGCACAAGGTCCTGGGGGGGTCCATCCAGAGAGCTCAGTTGTGGAGACTGCTCCAGGGGCTCAGTGAGCTGGCACAGGCTGGTGAGAAGTAGGGATGCCATACAACGGAAGTACAGCCAATGAAGCAGGGAGGCCAGCATGGAGGAGGTGGCACTGAGGCGGCAGGAGGGGCGCAGAGGGAAAACCCTTGGGAAGCTGTTGACAACCAGGTCTCTGGGCTGGTGACTGGTCAGATGCAGGAAACATTCACCACAACAGAAAGGGAAACAACGGTTTTTGGGGAAAGGGGGATAGGAAGCACCATTACCTTGAGAAAAGGGGGACCAGGTGTGGGAGGCAGGAGTGCATTCATACCCTCAACACTCAGATAGAAGGGGCATGGAGGATACTGGATGTTCTGATTACTGAGGGTAGAAGGGAGGCTCTGACCTGCTTCCAGAATAGTCCTCGGTTTCCCCCTTGAGGATCATCCCTCTCCCACTCTCAGCCCAAGAGCTGGGAGCAGGTGATATTACCCCAGCCCCAACGGTAGATACTGAGGTCAGCCTGGCCAATCTGGGCCACAGCCGGCATTCAGGGACACATTCAAGAACCTAGCCATGCCAGGGAGGAACTTTAGAGGCTCCACTAGAGCTGTTGGGAAGGAGACACCAACTCCTTGTGGGGAGAGAATAAACCTCGAGTGACTGGTGCTGTTTGTCACCACACGGGGAAACCAGAGACACACCAACAGAGAGAGAGAGAGGTTGCTTCCTTTCTCATGCAGGTGAACACCTAGATCCAGCCATACCTGAATCTAGCCATACTAGCCACATCCTAGAACTTCATGGATACAAAAGCCAATTAACCTCTTCCCTTTTTCTCTGAAGACAACTGGGGTTGAGCTTGCATCCTCTG